AAGAGGCAAAGGGAGTGGGCAGCAAATGCATGCCAGACCTACATTTCAATAATTGGTTCCAGGCTACCCTGAAGGGAGCTTGGAGGGGTGCAGGAGAAGGCCTTCTGCAAATGTAAAAATGACAGGATTACTTATCCCCTAGGGGAAATGATATGCCTGCATGACCAGCCATTCTCTCTAGTGCAGAACACTGGTTTCTGACAGAACTGGCACCCCATTTCCAACGGCCATCCTGAATGACCCTTAGCTGCAGGGTGGTGCCAGATTCATCCTCAGGGTGTCAGGCAATTGGCCAGGTGATATATTTTAGAAGCGACACCTGGAGCAGCCAGGGTGCAAAACATGCCTGTACTATGTATGGCCCACACTCTCAACCTTGCAGTTTGGGGTGCTTTGTAGAGTATGGAAGACACATGCATACCTAATATCGTTCATTAGACCAGAAAGGTGGCAGAGTATTTTCAGCACTATGTCCTGGGCAATGAGCTATTCAAGCAGAGGCAAGAAAAAATTGCCACTGAACCAACTAATCCAAGATGTGGCAAATCCGATTTCCACCTGCTTGAAAGAGTGCTGGTGCACCAAAGAACAGCACATACATACATACTTTATACATACATATGTAATTGTTACAGCATCAAGCCGTACATGAAAGAAAATTGAATGCAGAGCTTCAAGTACTGACATATACTGCAAAAAGCCAAATCAAATAAACAAGCAATAAAACTACTGTACAGATATAACAATATAAGACCAATGTCTAAGGCTTTGGCTATCTATTCTGGCTACTATGGCATGCCACCCAAAATTTCGCAACCAGTTCCATAGTAGTCGGATTTTGATCAATTAACAATTGGTTACAGTAACAATTGGTTAAGGTGAAAGCCAAAAGGGGTTTCTGGCTTTTGGCTTTCAGCCTTTGGGGGCCCCTGGGTACCCCCAAAAACCACCGCTGTTGCGTTTCAGCAACTGCTGTGGAGTTTCAGCCCCAGGTGGCCACCTCTTTTCTAGCCAAACCCGTCCACACTCTCCCCATTGGCCTACAGGGCCTTGGGACCAACACATCACTTCGGGGACCAATTCTGGTCACGGGGAACCTTGGCCTCTATGAACCACTCCTATAGGCCCACTGTGGCCTCAACAACCCCCTATGTCACCCTAAAGCCCCGCCCACCCAGGAAGAGGACCCTGGATCGATTCTTGACCCTTTGTCCCGCCTTGCAGGGGTGGCGTACCTGTCAAAAGTAATTTTAATAAATGCTACGTAGTATTACTATCGTACAATTTCACACGCTACCGAGGTTATGCTCAAAATCCTCCAAGGTAGGCTTCAGCAGTATGTGGACCGAGAACTCCCAGAAGGACAAGCTGGATTTCGAAGGGGCAGAGGAACTAGAGACCAAATTGCTAACATGCGCTGGATTATGGAGAAAGCCAGAGAGTTCCACAAAAACATCTACTTCACTGATTATGCAAAAGCATTTGACTGTGTGGACCACAGCAATCTATGGCAAGTCCTTAAAGAAATGGGAGTGCCTGACCACCTTATCTATCTCCTGAGAAACCTATACGTGGGACAGGAAGCAACAGTTAGAACTGGATGTGGAACAATTGATTGGTTCAAAATTGGGAAAGGAATAGGACAAGGCTGTATATTGTCCCCCGGCTTATTTAACTTATATGCAGAATACATCCTGCGAAAGGCCGGACTGGAGGAATCCCAAAACGGAATTAAGATTGCCGGAAGAAATATCAACAACCTCCAATATGCAGATGATACCACTCTCATTCCTACAACAACAGGACAAACTTTCTGGGATACTTTCTTGGTAAGTATGGCAGGGGCCTGTCCTCCAGGCACATCCCCCACCTCAACCCCAGAGGAAGGACAAGGCAGAGGTAGAGACCTACATGCAGGTGTCCTGTAAGCTAAAAGTGGCCAGCCCTTTGTCTTCCAGAGCTGAGCTGAGGAGGAGCCTGTTTGCAGAGATCTGGCCAAGGCGGCAGTGGGACGGCCATCTTGCCCACCACAAAGTAGACCCAGTGAAATAGTGTTCTCTCAGGCAAGGGACATTATCCATCCACAACACTCATGCCTAGAGCCTGGATCTGTAGAAAAACTTATTTTCCTTAAGGTCAACCTACCATTGCCGGGCGCCCCTGAAGCCCTCTTGGAGTAAGAGAGAATGGCACATTCTGCTCAAAGTGCCAGGTATGCCCTGCTTCAGTCTCCTGCCTCTGCCCCCTTTCCTTCTTCCAGCTGCTACTCCAAGATGGTGCTCACTCAGTCAACTGTGCTGGGGCCCTTGCTGTCGGCAGAGTACCCGCCCACCACGGGTACTGCTATCTGCTGCTCCCTTCTGCCTGCTAATGCTGCCCAGGGTATTTGCCTATTCC